TCACGCTGCCTTCGCAATACACAAATCAGTAAGTGAACGCTCGTGACGCGAGGGACACACTCAGGGGCTCCGGAACGCTCTGGTCTGAGTGCTCTACAGGGAGGGGGAGGGAGGGCCGTGAGCCCCCCGCACTGCTGCAGCCTGTGGGTGACATGACCGGCCTGGAGAGCAGTGCCACCAGGCAGAGGTCTCTGGACGACTGACCAACGTGTCCTCTCTGTGGAAGACAAGGGCTGGGTGGCACCACTGACCTGAGAGTGGACACTGTCCTTCCTGGTCTCCATTCTGTCCTCAACCCACCGCTGTCCACCCTCCCTCCCAGGGTGGGACACCAGCGACCCTGCTCCTCTGGGACCGCCCTTCTTTCACATCCTGGCCAACGTCCTTGGCCGTTGACTGTGTTGACCCCACATGACTGGCACCTGGGACGTCGCGCCCCCTCCTGCCTCTCCCCTACCTGTCATCAGCACCCTCCCTCTCTCTTGCCCACACCCTCACTTTCTGGGGGTCCTCAGATGTCTGCCCCGGGTTTTGTGTGTGTGCGCAGGCATGCATACACGCCGGAGTGCCATGATGATCCCCTCGGTGACGGATCTCCCACTCGAAGCAGCCCTGCGGGCGGTGAGGCCTCCCCTACGCCTGTCGCCGGCTCCCACGAGCACTCGCTCCGAGACTCAGGGCAGCACCGTGGCTTCTGCGTGTTCCTCCCCATTTGCCGCTGAAACTCGGCAAGACGGGCACTCGGCGCCGAAGACAAGCCTGCTGTCTTAGTAAGAGAGCCCCCATTCGCAGCTGGGCACGGGGCACCTGCAACACAGGCCTCGTTCCCCGCCCGCCTTGCGACTGGGCGTGACCACGTGACCGAGTGCTGGCCAACGGCCGGTGAGAGGATGCGTGTGCCTGCATGTGACCTCTGAGGACAGGAGGCTCGGTTCCCCACTACCCTCCCCGGTGCCAGCTGGCCGTGCGAGCAGGAAGCGCACCGTGACCTGGCAAAGCACAAGCCGCGGCAGCCCTGCCCGTCTGACCCAGGAAGCTCCTGCTCGGGAGGACGCGGTGCGCTGGTAGCCAGCCTCGTGTTCCCTCAGGACGTTCACAGAAAACCCGTTCTCAGGAAACACTGCTGCTCTGGGCACCGAGCCGCTCCCAGGACGACTGCCCAACCCCCGGGCCAGCAGCTCCACGCACCCACACGTGGGCCCCGCGCGTGCACACCAGGCCCGAACCAGCACGGCACTTTTTCTTTTTTCAATGATCGATTTATTTATTTATTTTAAAGTCAGAGTTACACAGAGAGGGAAGCAGAAAGAGAGAGAGAGAGAGAGAGAGAGAGAGAGAGAGAGAGAGAGAGAGTCTTCCATCTGCTGGTTCACTCCCCAATTGGTCGCAATGGCTGGAGCTGCGCCTAGCCGAAGCCAAGAGCCAGGAGTGGATAAAGACCTTGCTCTGCCTGTCTCTCCCTCCCTCGAACTCTTTTAAATAAATGAAATTTGAGGCAAGACCCCCACACCCACACAGACACCTGACTTCCCCCTCCTGCCTGCGCGGGAGTGCCTTCCGGACGGCTCTGGCTGAAGCGGGGCTCTCCCCTGCCTGCCGGCTTCGTGAGCTCGGCCTCGGGGCGCTGGCCGGTCACTGTGGGAGTCTCCGGGCAGCCAGGGTGGACCAGCCCCGGACTTCTGTCTCGGCAACGCCGTGACTTTAGGCGTTGGATCCCGGCCACTCCCCCCCCAACATGGTGGTCTTGTGTCTGCCACACAGCACCGGCTCCGGGCTCCGGTGTGGGAAGCTTCCTGCGGAACCCCGGGGACCTTGTTCCTGTATCTGAGAGAATTCGAAGCAGAAGCAAAAGTGGGCAGGACAGTGTAACTCGGACCAAGTCAGGCCCCCACCCCTCCCTGTGGACAGATGGCCGTGAAAGACGTTTATTTGAAAGGCAAAGTTACTGGGGGGGAGGAGGGAGATCGATCGCCTGGTTCAGTCCCTAAATGGCCACAAGGCTGGGCTGGGCCAGGCTGAGGTCAGGGGCTCCCTCGGGTGCAGGGACCCAAGCACTGGGCTCTGCTGCTCCCCGGGGACAGCCGGAAGCTGGGGACCCGAGCCTGAGCCGCATCTGGGATGCCGGCGGTTTAACCCCTTGCACAACTCCAGCCGTCTCCAGCCTCCGTTAGCCACCATCCCATCACCACCTCGCCTTAAAAATGAACTTTCCTAACATCGCTGGTTTAAATAGCTTACATTTCCATCTAAATCTTCTTTCTTATTTCGTTCAAGTCAATGCAGTTCAAGTTTCCTTTTGAAAAATTTTAACTGATGTCTACCATAAAAATCCCTACACGCGTGGCTCAATGAATTTCCGATCGGTCTCCTTGGAAGGTTTGTCCTGCCGGGTCCAGGCGGCTCGGAACGCGGCCATGTGACCTCGCAGGCTGACCGCGAGCCACGCGGAGTTCAGGCGGGAAAACAAGGTGTGACCGGGTCATCGGCCGCGGACTCCCGCGTCGGGCGGGCGGCACCAGGGACACCGCCGGGGCCACCACCAGCTCTGCCGCGAGCCGGCCCTCCGGTGCGGGGCGCAGGTCCCGGGGCTCGAGCCGCACCGCGCGGCCCCCGGACCGGTCATCCCGCATCCTGGGCCGAGCCCCAGCCCGACGCCACCGGACGCCGCCGGCTGCCACACCGCGTGGCCGTGGCTCGGCCAGCCCACGGCAGGGACGCCACACGACGATGGGGAGCCCGGGGGGACCGGCAGGGCCGGCCGGAAGCGGGCGCAGCGGCCCCACGACTCCCCGACGGCCCACAGGGCGCCCGGCTCCACCTCGGCGGAACCGGCCGCCGCCACGCGCGCACCTCCGCCCGCCCCACCCCGCCCCCGCTCGCGGCTCCGCCCTCGCCCCGCCCCGTGACGCACGAGAAGTGGGAGGAGCCACAGGGCGTCGGCGGATGCCCGCGGTTTGCCGCGGCCCGCGTCTTCCCGGAGCTCCTCCTACGCCCTGTGGCTCTGGACAGGGCGCCTGCGCAGTGCCGACCCAGCCCGGCCGTCTCCCCCTCCCCCTCCCTAGCAACCGTCGCCGGCGGCCGCCTCCGCCCCCTCGGCCGCGCCCGCGCATGCGCGCCCCGCCCGGCGCGCGGCCCCGCCCTCGCCGTCACCCGTAACAACCACTCGTGCCCGCGCCGCGCCCCTCCTCGCGCTCCGCCCTCAGCCCCCTCCCCGGAACCGAGCAGTGGAGCGCAGACGGCCGCGCGGAGCCGCCGGCATGAGCGACCCCTGCCGCCCCGCGCCCCGGGCCCAGCCTTTCTGACAAGAGGTAGGCGCGCGGAGCCGCGGCGGGCCCCGGTGCGGCCCCCGCCCCGCGCCGGGCCCCGCGGGGACCCCCGGCCGCCTGCGGGCCGCGCGCGGTGCTGAGGGGCGCCCCCCGCCGCCGCCCCCTCCGCGGGCCCGAGCGCCCCCGTGCGCGGGCAGCGGCGCTGGGGTTTGGGGGCCGGGGGCGCGCGCCGGGTCCTGCGGCCGCCCCCGGAGCCCGCCCGGCGGGGATGCGCTGGGTCCGGCCATTGGCTAATCCCCGAACGCCGATTGTCATGCAACAGAGGCGGCCGGGCCGCGGACGCCACCTGGCCGCGGTCACTCCGGAGGCCCGCGGAGGGCGTTAGCTGCACCCGGGCGCCGCCGCCGGAGCTGGCCGGGCTTCCGAGCGCGTGAATTGGCAGGTTCTTCGGCGTGGTCGCTTTGGCATCCTGGGGGTGGCCCTGTCGCACGCACCCCGACTCCTCTTTGTCCCCGGTTGCGGCTCCCCGTTTTCCGGGACGTGCCCTGGAGTTCGCTGTCCCGGTTGAATGCGGGAGAATCACTGGGTTCCCATTGTGCACCGGCTGCGCGCGGGTTGCAGAAACGGCATGGAACGTGGTCCCGGCGCGCCGGGGCCCCGGGATTTTAGGGCCGGGAGTCTGGAAGGCCGTGGCGGAGGGCAGCCGGTGCTGGGCGTCCGTGGCCTGTTGCAGGGGCCCGAGTTTTCCGCCTCCGGCCGCTTCTGAGAGGGAAAGTTCCAGGTCGGGTCCGAGGGACCCGAACGCTACAGGAATTAATTTTTCAGCAAAATTGGTGCGACTTGGGGTTTCTGCAGCGAGATCTGGGCTCCTGCTGCTCTGAGTGTGCGCCCAGCCGGGTTGATTCCTGATGGTCGTCCTGGTTGGGTTTGTTTTCTTCCTAACTTTTAACCGGGGGGCGTTAGCAGTCCCAGGCCTGCAGATGCGCTGTGTTTTCATGCAAACTCCTGGCCGACCCGGAGCTGTGCGGGAGAACCCGGGCGGTGAGCTGGCCTCAGCGTGTAATCCCGCGCCGGCAGCTGTCGCGGCCGAGCGAGGCTGGGGGCTTCGGGGAGCCCCGCTTTCCAGCGGGCCGGGTCCCTGCCGGGAGACCGGGTCTCCGAGACTGTGTGCGCAGGCAGCAAACAGGAAGCGCCGAGTGTCCTCCGAGGGGTGCGCTCCGGGAAGGCCCCGCACCGCTCTGCCCCGTTTCATTTCTGTGTTTCCCGGAGCCCCTCCTGGAAGTGGCTGAGAGAACGTGATCCGAGTGCGAACCCGGGGTCGTGAGGATAATTCAGGGGTCCCGGCCCCGGGGACGGCCCTCTCCGCTCCTCCTGCCTCCGGCCCTGCGGACGTGGGTGTCGCCTTTCGATTTTGGGTCGGTAGAACGATGACCGGCGTGGCTCCCCGCGTGGGTAGCATGTGCTGGCGCCGACCTGGTTCTTCTGACTGTTTGCCGCCCGTTTATGTCTTGCAGGTGTGAGAAGATTGCTGTCGCGTTACAATCATGGTGCAGAAATACCAGTCCCCGGTGCGGGTGTACAAACAGCCCTTTGAGCTGATTATGGCTGTAAGTCTACGGAGTGTGCTCTGTCTCCGCTGCTTCTCTTACTGACTCGTGCTCCAGCGCTGTCTGGAGTCCGCGATGTTTAAAAATCCAGGATCTGCGTTTTGTCTGTTTTTGAAAACCGTGCCTCCGGGTGAAGCCTCTGAAATGCAGAAGTGGGGCTCCGAGTGCGTACTTCCTGTTGGTGTTGCTCTTTTCTTCTCTTGGTTGTTACAGTAGAAAAGGGATGTGGAACGCGCGGCGTCTTCCTGACCTGTGTCTATGTGCGGGTGAATTCGCCCCGGGTCGCCGTAGGACCGGGCACCCCGGGAAAGATTCGCTCACGCTGTCCATGAATGAGTTTTTCCCCTGATACCTAATCCGTGTCAAGGGAATTCCACAAGGTCTGTTATCGTTTGAGTGTGGCTGAAAAGCGGTGTTTTACTGGATGTAAAACAAGGCTTCGCCGAGCGTTTTTAGATTCCCGGGGGTGCTCCTTGCCTGCTCCCTACCCAGGACATCTGATCCGTGCTGGAAAATGCCTCTGTCAGCGCCACGCAGCCTGATGAAGATTTGTCACACAGTGCCACGCGGCTGTGGCACTGGAGTGTGATGAGGCCGGGGGCGTCTCCCCCATCCTGCCCTCCGCCCTCTAAAGTCAGCCCCGGTCCAGCCCGGCTGGTAGCTGTTTCTCTTTGTATAAATAGGAACGCAGGTGCCCTTGCTTCCGGCTGCCCCTGCTCCGTGTGGGACTGCGCCGGATCAGAGGGTGACAAAAACGCATCCCCTTCAAGGGGACAACTTGGACTTTTTTTTTTTTAATTGCGGTCTGATTTGTATGCAGCAGATGTCACATGTTGGGTGTGTGGTGTGGTCAGTTGTCACGACACGGAACGTTTCCCTGGGGCCCCCGTGCGCCCCGCTGTGTGTGTGTGTGCGCGTGTTCCTGAGAAGGTGCTGCCGGCCCCAGTGCGCTAAGCCAGCCCTGCCGTGTTCCTGTGCCTGAGGGGTTTCCGCTTGGCGCGCTGTGTGCCCTGGCTCGGCTTCTGCTCCTCCTATGGAACAAAGACCACTCCTGCCGGCTTGAAAAGGAGTTTTGTTCGCGGGATGCATGTGGCGTGATAGGAACCGCACACGCGTTCAGGAATTCAAGCTGCGCTGGGCTGGGCTCCAAGAGCCTGGTGGTGGAGGGTGGTTCCTGGCACTCTGGGCCTCGCAGCAGTTGTCCCCGGAACCTCACCCCAGAGGACTCTGCCTGGCTCCGGGGGCGGCGCCCTCCTCCCGGCACCGGCATGCCGGCCCCTCCCCCGCGGCCAGCCCACTGCTCTCAGCTGGCTGAAACCCTCCTGGCATTCCTGTTGCATTCCTGCAGTCTCCAAGTGGCCGGTCCTGGTCACATTCTTGAGAGGGACGTGGTCTGGTTCCTGTGGGCTGTCTGCGGCTGGGCTGCCTGAGCCTTGTTCACCTAGCAGGACGGGTGGGCTTGGGGACAGAGATGTGGGGACGCTGGAGGCAGAAGAGCAGTGTGGGAAGGTCCTGGGGGCAGGGGCGGGGGGCCCCGGGGGCCCCGGTTCCCGTTTCCCAGGACCCAGAGTTGGAGGATGGTCTCCTCCCAGGTGCTGGGTTCCGTGGGGGAGGCTGTGGCTGTCTGGCGGCTGCCTGGGTTCCCTCACGCGAGAGCGCTTGAGAAACCCATGGAAAAACGGGGTGAAAAGATAGGGTCATTTTGGTGTGGAAAACTTTGAAATTGTTTATTAGAGGAATTCTACAAAGGTTCATGAAAATGTATGTTATAAAAAGCCATGGGGCCGGTGCTGTGGCGCAGCGGGTGAAGCCGCCACCTGCAGTGCCAGCATCCCATATGGGCACCGGTTCGAGTCCCAGCTGCTCCACTTCCGATCCAGCTCTCTGCTGTGGCCTGGGAAAGCAGCAGAGGATGGCCCAGGTCCTTGGACCCCTGCACCCGCGTGGGAGACTTAGAAGAAGCTCCTGGCTCCTGGCTTTGGATTGGCTCAGCTCCAGCCATTGCAGCCATTTGGGGAGTGAACCAGAGATGGAGATCTTTCTCTATCTCTGTCTCTGTCTTTCAAACTCTACCTTTCAAACAAATAGGTAAATCTTAAAAAAAAAAAAAAAAAGCCTATGGATCTCAAGAATTTTGGTACCCGAATAAACTTATCTTTTAGTTTCATTTTCCATGAACTTTTTTTTAAAAAAAGATTTATTTATTTTATTTGAAAGAAAGTTACAGAGAGAGGTAGAGTCAGAGAGAGGTCTTCCATCCGTTGGTTCACTCCCCAGATGGCCATAATGGCTAGAGCTGGGCCAATCCAAAGCCAGGAGCCAGGAGCTTCCTCTGGGTCTCCCACACGGGTGCAGGGGCCCAAGCACTTGGGCATCTTCCACTGCTTTCCCAGGCCATAGCAGAGAGCTGGATCGGAAGTGGAGCAGCCGGGACTCAAACCCGCAACCACATGGGATGCTGGCACTGCGGGCTGGGGCTTTAACTCACTGTGCCACAGTGCTGGCCCCATCCATGAACTTTTGAAGTGCCCTCGTATTTCCAAAGTGGTGACGCCTCCCTTGCCGATCTTGTGCCACCCACGGTCTCCCGGCATCCAGCCTTTAACTGCCTTGGCTTTGAGGCAGTGCCTCCTTTTCTCGCGACTGCTGCGAGATATTTTTTGGTCTGAAGATGCAGTGTTTTCCCAGTGGAGCTGGAATGTTGCTGGTGTCTGTGCGGGGTGCCTGGCTGCCCAGTGTGCTGGCCTCAGCGTGTGCTGCGTCATTTTTCTCATTGAGGGAAAAGCACAGTGCGGGGTTATGCTGGAAGTCCATCGTTCTGAGTGAGCAGTGAGGTATCAGTTCAGGGGAGAACGGTGGGTTCCGTGGAATGTTCGGGAGACCCCCAGGCAGCAGATGTGCGTCCGTAGAAGCCCACGTAGATGGCATGAGGCGGACCTGGCAGGTGCTGGGCTGCCCTGTGGGTCCTGTGAGGAGAAGTCCCTGCCTGAGTGTTTTAACCAGGAGTGTTGTTGCAGGGGCAGGCGTGTGGCACAGCGGGCTGCACTGCCACACGGGATGCCTGTATCTCGTAGGAGGGCCTGGGATCAAGGCCCATCTCTACCTCCAATCCAGCTTCCTGCTGAGGTGCCTGGGAGGCAGCAGGCGATGGTGGGAGAGCCAGGTGGAGTGGCCGGCTTCTGGCCTCGGCCCGGCCCAGCCCACTTGGCTCTTGGCATTCGGGGAGTGAACCAGCGGATGGAGGTATTTCTCTCTCTCTTAATCACTCTGCTGTTCGACTAGATAAATAAACACATCTCTTTAAAAAAGTTTCATTATAGTTTAGTATTGCCAGAAAATTGTAGGTAGCAAGTGCCTGATGTCTACAGACTGTTTTAGGACACACATCATTGAGGGAGTCGTTGCATTTTATGTTAAATATGTTCATTGCATTTCATTTGATTTAATGAGAGTTACCATCTGGGGCGATAGCATTAAAAAAGTCATGTTCAGAGTTCCGCTCACTTATCTGGACTAAAGAAGGGGATTTAACCAGGCAAGATGGGAGGGGGCTCCCAGCAGGTGCTCGTGGGTCGAGTGGGGCCCTTTGGTTTGCTCTTAGACCCGAGATGGAGCATTCAGCACACATCAGTGCCCCCGGCCCAGCTGCCTGCGTGACCCGCACACTGAGACAGGAGGGCTTTCTCGCCAGGGGCAGAGAACTTCTTTTTTAAACATTCATTTATTTATTTAAAGGCAGAGTTACAGAGAGGCAGAGAGAGAGAGGTCTGTCTGCTGGGTTACTCCCTGATTGGCTGCCACATCTGGAGCTGCACTGACCTGAAGCCAGGAGCCAGGAGCTTCTTCCAGGTCTCCCATGTGGGTGCAGGAGCCCAAGGACTTGGGCCATCTTCCACTGCTTTCCCAGGCCACAGCAGAGAGCTGGATCAGAAGTGGAGCTGCTGGGACTTGAACTGGTGCCCATATGGGATGCAGGCACTGCAGGTGGCGGCTTACTCGCTACGCCACCGCGCCGGCCCCCAGAGAACTTCTGATTCTCGAGTTGCGTGTTCCTTTTATCAGGCCACATGAAACACTGCATGGAGGTCCTCGCCCGGGAGTCTCAGCCCACAGCATCTCCTAGGGCTGACTTGCCTGTGGCTGCTGGCGGGAGAAGGAGAGGGAGAAGGAGAAGGGGTTCGGGAGAGCACTGAGGTCGGTGTAAGGCAGGGCGGAATGCAGCTCTGGGGTGCTTAGGTTAGAGTGTTTCATCTTGAGGTTTGTAACTGAAAACATGTTTCCAAACAAGTCAAGTGCAGCCCTTCCTAAAGGATACAGAGCCAAGGTGTGGGCTCCCTGGCTGGGAACCTGTGGGGGAGGCTGCTTCTGCGCCAGACCCCGCGAGCGGACCTGAGGCGGAGCTTGGCCTCGGCTCTGTGAGGACAGCTGTCACCCTAGGGGCTGCTCCAGATCGCACGCCCTGGGGCCGTCCCTGTTCCCTGGCTGGCAGGGTGATGGCGCTGCCTTCGCCTGTTCCTGCTGGCGCGGCTCTCCCAGGGCCTTTGCTGTCTCCCTGCTGTGGCAGCTGCAGCCTGCGGTGCCGCCCAGCCACGCGGCCTCCGGTCCGCCCGAGCCCTGTGTCAGGAGGGAGCGACCCGAGACGCCTGCTCCTTCCTGCTTGGGTCTTGTGTCCCTGCAGGCCCCCTGCGTCCTCCTGAGCGTCCTGTGTCTCTGTTCAGGGGCTCTGGCAGCTGGCAGCCGCCTCTCGTGTCCCGGCGCTTTCTTCAGGGTCCTCTCTGTCCGTGTCCTGCTTCCCTGCCAGCCTCGGCCCGGAAGTCCCGCGAGGCCCCCACACGCGCCTGGAAGCTCTCCTTGGCCCTGCGGGCGAACCTGCACGCGGAGCCTTCCCACCTCGCCGTGTCTTCCTCCCGGCCCAGCCGTTGGCCTTTCGCTGCCCTGCCTGTGCCTGGAGGTGCCCTGCGTGTCCCTCTGCTTCCCTTGGGCGCCTGCGTCAGGTGTCC